TAAATACCTGGTAGCTACATTCATATAATGGAATGTCATATATTTGTTAAACATCACATTTTTAAAGGAAAAGTAATAATATGGGGGAAAGTCCTTGGTATCATTCTGAATAAAAAAAAATCAGCACAAAACTCCATATATAGCATGTTAACAATTTGATTATGTATATGTATGATATAGACATATATCACACTTTCCCCACCCCTGCATGCAGATTAAACCCAAAGCCTTTGCACTGAGCTACATCCCCACCCCCATTTTATTTTTTTTTTGAGACAGGGTCTTGCGAAGTCACTAAGTTGCCCAGGGTAAGCTCAAATTTGGGATCCTCCTGCCTCAGTCTTCCAAAATGTTAATGGTTTAGCTGAGTAGTGAGGTTGCTGGTAATATTTGTTTTTTATTTACATATTTTTAAATTTTTGTGGTAGTACTTTTTACATATATGAATTATATACTGACAAAAAACATTTAGGAAAGCAGAACTTAAATGATAAAATGGTGAAAATATACAAGGAACTTAACTTTTGTTTTACTTTTACTTGTTGAGTGATGTATGAGTAAATTCTTTGTGTGTGGTAATTGAACATCTTTAGAGGAAGATGTGAACACTCCTCATATGAGCATTTTCATCCAGGAAGAAAACATTCTGAATGGTTTGGTGAATTTTCTTTTAATCCTTTTTCTATACACATACATACATGTGTATGTGTAAACATAACACACACATATATTTTAATGAACAGAAAATGAGGCAATAATATCATATTGGTTTGCCATTTTATCTTTTAGAAATTATGTCTTAGAGACATTTCTGCAAGGATATATATGGGTGTCTCTCACATTAGTTGCAAGCTTCTTCCCTATTACAAATCAATACATTGTATCCTTCCTTCTGTTATAAACAATCCTACACTAGATTTCCTTGCCCATAGATTTCTGAGGGGCACATGTACAAGTCTGTATTTGGAAGAGATGCCCTCAAGTGGGATTGCTGGACCCAAAGGGTATATACATTTAAGTTTTATTGCTAAATCCAAACCATTCTCCAAATTTCCACTAGTTTGTATCTGCATAGGCAGTGTATAATAATCGTTTTTTCCTAAAGGGAACTATATATAATACTTACTGAGAATCATTAGTTCTATGAATGTAGAAATGCTTTGAAAATCCAGAAAGTAGAATGCAGACATAAAATCCTTATTTGGTCCCTCCCACCCCTGGGTCCTATGTGAGAGGTAAAGTTAGTAACTCAGTCCAACATTCAGAGATGTGATTTTCAGGATGTATGCCACGTACTTGCTCTCTGGGAATAATAATATACCTACTCCCTACTTGTTATAGTATTGAAAGAAGTAATGCATTTGAGGGATAGTGCTTAGCAGATGCTCAGTCAATGTTGGCTTTCATTACAAAAATAGTCCTCAAATATTACACTCTGACTATATACCTTTGCTGGGTTCTAGAATGTGTGACAATATTCCTACCCAAGCACAGCTGATATCCTCGGAGAGGAAAGAGAATCCAAATGAGAAGTTCTGGTGAAATGGGGTGGGTGGGAAAAGAAAGCTCATTGGCACGTGGTGTCCCACTGGGGCCTGGGGAAGCGAGGAGTCCAGAGGGTGAAGGGTGGAGTAGAGGGTCCCGCACATGGGGGAGCTGTGGGGCACCAGAGGGACAGGGAGAATTTGTCATTGCGAGTTCAGAGTGACTTCAGGAAGGCTTCACAGAGGTGAAGGAAGAGCCTGGTTGAGTGAAGGATTATGAACCTCATCCTCAGAGGAATGGAAGGGGTTTTAGTGGTGGATAGAGTAATTTGGGGCTTTTGGCTTCCCTGTGGCGAGAGTCAGGGAGTGTGAGTGGGAAGATGGGGGTCAGGAGGCAAGGTCCCAACAGGGAGGCCCGTGGCTGCACCAGGGAAGGTTCTAGGCAAGTAGGAAGTCAAGTCCACAGCACCAGACAGTGGAGGCTGAGGAAGAAACATCAAGGGCAGCCTCGTGATGCCAGCCTGGACTATTGAGGAAAAGCAGAGAGGGTTCTGTTCTTCAGAACACTCTCATCTCTGCCTCTAGAAAGCACAGCCAAGGGAAGGGGTGGACATCGGGCAGTACACTCTGTGAGGACTGTGCTTGGTCCTGTAAGCGGCACTGTAACCCCTTCTCGCCAACCTGTGGGCAAGTGGCACCCTGCCCTGCACATGCCCCACCCCCTTCATTAATGGGAAGAACTGGCACCCTGACAGTGACAGCAATACACTGTGCTACATTCCAGTTTCATCTTCAAACCACATTTTGTATCTATCTTCTTCAATTTATTTTGATAAAATGATTGATAGATCATAATTACATACATTTTACAGAGTACAAAGGATGTTTTGGTATAGGAGGGGTGATCAAAACATATGGAGAATGTTTAAAGTTTTAAAATTTATTACAGTAAAAGATGTTGCCATTAATCAGTACTCCCTCTTGCTTCAAATGTACATATCCTCTTGTCCATTGCACTTTCTGAAGCAGTTCTGAAAGTCCTCTTTTGTGAGTGTCTTTACAAAGTGTGATCAGAAATGCAGTGAATGCTGTTATTCAGTGCCGTCCAAAAGAAAGGCAGGCTTGTGAAAACATTACAGTGTGTTCTTGTCCTCCAGATTTGGCATTGTGTGACTTCAGACTCTTCCCCAAAGTCAAAATGACTGTGAAAGGTAAACGCTTTGAACCAACTCATGACATAAAAGCAGCCACAACAGTGGATGCTCGAAAAAAGACTTGCAAAACTGCTTCAGAAAATGGCAAGAATGATGGGATAAGTGCGTTGTAAGTGAGTTAGAGGATTTTGAGAGGGATTCATGACAACATGTCTTTTACTGTAACACATTTTTAAAAATTTAAGTATTCACTCTATATTCACTGCATATGTATAAAATGGGGCACGATTAAATCAATCCAGTTAACATATCTGTCACTTGGCTTGCCTGTCTTTTTTGTGGTGAGACTGCATGATCTGATTTATATGTGGAATCCAAAAGAGTTGACCTCATGGAAGTTGAGAATAGAATGATGTTTAGCAGAGCCTAGAGGGATGAGGTGGAGAGGGAGAGCACAGGAAGTTGTTGATCAAAAGTTGTTGACAATGTTTTAGATACACAGGAGGAATAGGCTTTTTTTTTTGTATTAAATTCTTTTATTGGTACGTTTTAGAGATACAACACAATTACATTTCTCATTGGGAATTGTACCTTTACATAATGCATCTTGGTTCTTATTTTTTCCCCATTCCTAGCCCTCCCTTCACCCCCTCCACCCTTCCCTATTTACAAAGACTTTATTGCCATTTTTTCCATTTCTCATCCTTTTTCCTTTCCCTTCTTTCCTTTCCCCTGCCTCTCCCACCACCCCTACCCCTTTGGACCTTTTCTTCCTATTTTGCATTATCGATTATTCATTCTAATCATTGGTGCATTTTAGGTATACAATATAATGGCATTTATCATTGGAAATTTGCACCTTTACATAGTCTCTCTTGGTTCTTATTTTTCACCCTTGCCCAGCCCGCCCTTCAACCCCTCCATTCCTCCTTATTTACAAAGATTTTGTTCCTATTTTTCCATTTTCTCATATTAATCCCATTCCCTTCTATCCTTTCCTCTAGCCCTCCCACTTCCTTCCCCTTTGCCCCTTTTCTTCCTATTTCACATTACCTATTATACATTTAGTCCTTATTTACACTTTCAATTTCTCACACCAGAGAAACTATTCGGAATTTATTCATGTGTGTCCTATTTATTTCACTTACGAGTATAGCCTCAATGTGCATCCCCTTAGCTATAAATGTCTCTAATTTCTCATTTTTTATGGCTGAGTAGTACTCCATTTTATTAAAAAACCACATTTTCTTTATCCAGTCTCCAGTTGATGGCCATTTGGGCTGTTTCCAAGTTTTAGCTATTACTAACTGTGCTGCTATGAACATGGGTGCACATATAGCACTGTGGTATGATTCTTTTAATTCTTTGGGGAAGATCCCCAGCAGTGGAATAGTGGGGTCAAATGAGACTTCCAGTCCTAGTTCTTTGAGGTATCTCCACACTGATTTCCACAGTGGTTGCACCAGTCTACACTCCCACCAGCAGTGGAGCAGGGTTCCTCTTTCCCCACAACCCCACCAGCATTTGTTATTGGTTGATTTCATGATAGCAGCCATTCTTTCTGGAGTGAAGTGGAATCTCAGCATTGTTTTCATTTGCATCTCTCGAATGACCAGTGATGTTGAACATTTTTTCATGTATTTATTTTCTATTTCTACTTCTTTGTCTGAGAAATGTCTGTTCATTTCAGATGCCCATTTTTGGACTGGGTCTTTAAATTTGGGAGGTCTGATCTTTTTAAGTTCTTTATAGATTCGAGATAGTAGACCTTTGTCTGAAGAAGAGCAGGTGAAGATTTTTTCCCACATTGTGGGTTGTCTCTTCACACTGCTGGTGGTTTCTCTTGCTGTGCAGAAGCCTTTTAATAAGAAGAGATCCCACTTGTTGATTGTTTGTGCTAGTTCACAGGCAACTGAGGTTTTGTTCATAAAATCTTTTCCTACACTGATGTCTTCAAGGGTTCTACCTAACCTCTGTTCCAACTGGTTCAGAGTTTCTATTTTAATATTTAGATCTTTAATCCATTTTGATTTTAGTTTAGTGCATGGTGAGAGATATAAGTCTAGTTTTAATCTTTGGCAAGTTGAAGCCCAATTTTTCCAGCACCATTTATTAAAGAGGCTATCTTTCCTCCAGTGAGGGTGTTTAGGGATAGGCTTTGAGATCTATGGCATAGTAAAGTGTCCACAGTCATAAATAATAATATATGTATATTCAAAATAAGAATGCAAATTTCAAATGTCTTGTGTTTGTATCTTTTATTCTGTAATATTTTCTGACTGGGACAGACCCTCGGCTATACATGGAAAGAATAGTAATACAATAATCTAAAATATCTCCCACTTCATAGGAGTTATAGCTTTTTGAGATTTGGAACTAACATTTTCTGAAAAAGTTGGCAGTTGAATCAAGCTGAAAAGGAAACATGCTTGCATCCTAACCCACTTCACTGAGAATTTTAATGGACTCTTTTTCCTCTGTTGCACATGTGCCCACATCTGTCTGGGTAAAATTGTAAAGCAGTGTTTGCCTTTGTCCCAGCTCTTTGTTCCATTCATGACGTATGCATGGCCTCTTTCTTCTTCTAGAACACAATGCTGTTTTGGTTTTCAGTTTCCCGGACCAGCATCAACTCTGTCACCTTGGAAATAAAGTATTGAGCAGAAAGGTTACCCTAGCAACGCTTCATTATAAGATGTGAAATGGGCCAGATAATTTTATCTTCACTCTTTGAAAGAAATTAATTCATCACTAAGTCATATATAGAATAAGACTGTTTTAGCCATTTGATGAGCCTAGAATTCAAAGCTCCTTAGTGCCAATTGCTTTGATAAAAATGAAATGTTAGGAAGATTAGACTGCAGTACTAAAGTCTATATCATTATCCATTGTCATCGTCATATATCATCATCATCATCATCATTATCATCATCGTGTCTTCCTCAACATCTCATCAGGCTTCTTGCTTTGTCCTACTTTGGGTTCAAGCTTTTGCAGATTTGTACTGCAGCTCTGTCATTTACTCTGGAAGGACCATGGCAAGGTCCCTGATCTATGACAAACCCTCCTCACATACTGGGTTCTGAGTGAAGCATTTAATATCACTAAAGTATCTTATCTAAAACTCACAGCAATCCATGAGGTGACTTCATCGTTTAGCTGACAAGGAGCAAAGAGGTTCAGGATGCTAAAGCTATGATATTTTATTGCTTTCAAATATGAAAACATTGAACATAAAGCTATATAGTGATTGAAAAGCTTTTTTAATTAAAAATGTAAAGTGACAGTATATATTACAAAAGACTAGAAAATATAGGTAAGTGAAAAAGAAAGAAGCAATGGAGTTATAGTTCCACCAGGGACATGTCTCTGCTGGTTATCTGACCAGATCGTTTTTACTATGTATATGTCCTTTGGTTTTGTTTTTACCACAATGATGTCAAACTGAATACACTGTTTTGTATCTACCTTTTTCCTCTTCCATCTACCAAGAACTCATTCAATGCCAGCGTATCCTCATCTATTTTTTTTAAAAGTTTGGATTTTAGAATGTAAGATGTAGTCTACAAAGCAGGAACAAGTCTTCATGGGTCTGTGAGTGATCTTGCCACACCTTCCCAGTTCATTATGTAGCCTTATCTTCACATTGTTCATTGGAGCCTGCAGATGTTTCAGTCTGAAAAGCAGATGTTTAAGCTTCAGCACTCCGCAGCTTGTAAAACTATACTGTCGATAAAGCCATTGCATCTGTATTCAAAGGTTTATTCGTGTGGGGTTTGCACAGCATTTACATCTTCATTTCACTCATCCAATCGAACTTCTCTTTGGCCAGGATGGTAGTAGGCTTTGAGACAACTATTGGTATATGTGCTGCCAAAGTGAGCACATGGGACAGCTATTGGAAGAACAGAGTTAGTTGAAAAACAGTGAAATTGGTGAGTTCAATCAGGTGTGAACAATAAATATATAAACACTAGTTTCACATTATTGTCTCTGTTTCAAAATGTTTTGTGTTTGCTTTTCAATGCACCTGAAATGTTGTCAGGTAAACTCTACCTGTTCTACTTAAACAATAGCTCTAACTATAGTTATATATTCTACTTTTCTTCATTTACTATACATTCTGAACATTTTCTTTTTAATGATCATTTGGGGGTGAATTTTAATAATTGTACTAGTATTCAATATTTCTTACTTGAAATTTTAAGTGTTCATTTTCCTGTCTTTTTGCTATCACTAAAGTAGGAATAGTAAAACAAAAAGACAAGTAAAAATTTCCATTTCTATGTGAAGATGGTACAGTATTTCTTTTAATATTCAGTTTATCATTTTTGACTAGTTTTCTTTTGAATGCTAAATACATACGTATCTTAAAATCTTTTTTACATTATTCAGTCTTAGCAAGTATCTTTTAAAAATAGCAGTCATACTTCATTCTATGCCTCAATTATCAAGAATTTGCAATCCAAACTTATTTTATTTGTAAGATAAACTTGTTAAAAAATGTTGGCACCTCAGCCATTATTGTAGTTTACATATAGTTTTAATCTTTGTGTATTAAATAAATGGTTACTTTGTACATTTATTGTACCAGCAACTAGTATATTTGAAAAGGGAATAGTAAAACTAGAAATTCCATTTGACCCAGCTATTCCCCTTCTAGGTATCTTCCCAAAAGAATTAAAGACATCACATTATAGTGATGCATCCACACCCATGTTTAGAGCAGCACAATTCACAATATTTAAATCTTGGAAGCAGCATACATGTCCATCAACAGATAAATGGATAAAGAAAATGTGGTATTTATACACCATGGAGTAATGCTTTGCCATAAAGAAAAATAAATTTGAGTCATTGGTAGGAAAGTGGACACACCGTAACATTAAGTAAAATAAATCAGATACACAAGCTTAAATATCACATGGTTTGTCTTATATGAGAAACCCAAATTATAAATAGCAAAATAAAAGAAGAAGTAGAGAGATCATTCTCAAATGGGAAGGGGATCAAGAGATAGAGGGAGAGGAAGAAGAGAGGAGAGGGAAAGTGAATGAAAAAAGAATTAGGATATGTTATGGACATGTACCAACTCCATACAAGGAATGTAAACATAATGTACTGAAAACACATACTGATAAAAAAAATTTCAGTTTAAAAAAAGGAAATAAAGAACTACTGAGTTTGATGAAGAGAAAAAACTGTTAAATGCCTTTGTCTATAGATTGAGAAAATGTATAAAGAAAAAAATGCCTAGTGGCCAATAGGCAGTAAGAATAAATACTACTGTCATTATTGATAAAGCTATTCTAGTGTTCAGTAGATTTTTCAAAGTATTTCATCTAATAGTGGGGAAAATTATAATGTCATCGGCCTAAATTATCTTTTCCATGAATTCCAACACTTTCTTCTGTTTTTATGGTCAGTGATTCCCCTCCAACACACACCCATACACACACACACACACACACACACACACACCCTTCTAGCTCTACCTCTCTCTTAGTTAAAAGTTTTTCCCAAGGGTATGATTATTAATATCAGTTTGGTAAGGCTTAGATCTAGGTCAGCTATAAGAAAATGAAAGTAGATACCTTCAGGCTCCCTTTTGCTGCCAAATATTATCCAAAAGGCCCCTTGCCACCTTATAAACATAATAAGTGAGCTGTTTCAAAGTGGCTGGGTGTTTTTATTCTCTCTCAAGCAGAGCCCTCACCTGCATCCTATACCTCCCTTCCCTCCTGCTGGCTCCTTACAGAAGCTGGGCAACCAGGATTCTGAGCCCCCAGTCCTGGGATGCCTTGGTGACCTCACAGTCTCTCTCCCTGTGACATCATAAAGAGATAGTCTCCTCTGACCTCCGTGCAGCCATCATGTTGTAAAAACTAAGACCGAAGACTGAAGTTGTGGAGTATGAGTTTGTCCTTCCCTACACCTGCTCGCAGGAAGGAGAACAGTGTGCCTGCGCCAGACCCCCACTGCCACACTCCAGGCCACCATGGCCAGGCAAGGCGTGAGAGCCAAGTCCAGGAAAGAGGGAAGTAGAATATGAGTGGATCTTTTTCTCTGAGTACATTGCCAAGTCAGGAGCCAAGCTGATCCCGATGAAGTGTATAATGTTGCTAAATATTTTGTGGTATTGATTTGGAGTAGAGGCAGAAGTTGGCAAACTGGGAGAGCTCTTTATAGACTTCTAAAGAAAACAAATGTGTTTCGTTTGTTGAGATTTTTTTCCTCTGAAAGTTTATGTGACATATACTAGCTCTATTTTGAGAGATGATTTTTTTTTCACTTATGTAAGCATCAGTTTCAAAGCCTAGTCCTCCCACCTTTTAACCCACTGTCCTGCTTCCTTCTCTTTAACAAGGACAGTGCTGAATTCATGGGGTTTGTAAGAAGCTGGGTTGGACTATGCAGACTTTTAATGTTCTCTTCAGTTGTCCAAATCTTTGCCTTTAGTTTTTGGCTCTTGGTGGTTTTATTATAAAATTAATATATGTAGTTTTTTAGAAACTAAGTATACAGTAGGGCTGGAGGTGTAGCTTGGGCACTTGCCTAGCATGTGCAAGGCCCTGGGTTCCCATCCCCAGCACTGCCATAACAAATTAAAAAAATGAAAAGGAAAAACCCAGCCTACCTCACTTGTCACAAAAACACCAATTTTTAGAAGTAACTACTGTTGATAGTTTTAAACCTAATGTTTATGTTTTTAGATATTGCTAAAAATAAAACATTACAAAGTTGAGGATTCTTGAACATTTCTTTAAAAGATCTCCTTCCTGGGGCCAGGGATTTAGCTCAGTGTTGCCGCCACCTGCCTCACAAGTGCAAGGTCCTGAGTTTGATCCTCAGTACAAAAAAAAAAAAAAATCTCATTCCATTCCCCCCTTTCCTAGAGGTAAATGTCAGCTTGAATTTTCACGTGTATTTTACTATTCTTAATACAAAGTTAATAAAATATTGTTCAATGGGTTTAAAACTTTAAACACAATCTAGGGGAAAATCAAAATGGAGTGAGTTTTATTCCAACAGTAAATAGGGAGATGGGAGGCCTTTGCTACTCAGACCCCAGACAGCACCTAAGCCTGTGACTCCAGAGTTCTCCAAGGGTACCGACCTTGAACTGCTGTTGACCTCGGCTGAGCTTCTTACACAGAGCCTGAGGCCACACCCAACCCTCTATAGGGCGCTTAACTTCTGACAGTAGGGATCACTAATTCCTAACAAGTGATGTGAAGACTAAAGCCATCATTTTGTAAAATCTCAGAGATTGTTTTCAAAGGTTGCTTCTCTAATAATCTTTCTATTGAAATTCTAATCTTTAAAGAATGTATTATACATATTGATGTTTCTTTATCTCTATCTACCTATCACTATTTAGGTACTGTATATCTATTCCTTTTGTCTCTCTATGCTATATTCTGGGAAAAGTCTTTACTACTATCACCCAATTTACCAGTGCTTATTTAAATTATTATTATATCCAGTCTAGAATTCATTCTATTAAGATTTTTTTTTTTGCTTTGGTTCTAATGTCCTTTGTTTTCCTAAGACAAATTTTTTAATTGCTTTGTCTATCCTCTTCTTATGGCCCTTTAATAAATTCTTGTACTTTTATATCTTTTGAGAGTCTAATTATAAGTAATTTTAATCATAATTAAAGCTATCATTAGATTGCTCATAAAATTAACTTATTAAGTGAATTGAAATTTTGATTATTGATTTACTCAGATGTCAATTTTGGTAGTGCGTGTGTGTGTGTGTGTGTGTGTGTGTGTGTGTGTATGTGTGTGCACCTAGGATCTTTTTTCTTTTTTTGCAGTGCTGGGGATTAGACTTCATGCATGCTAGGCAAGAGCTCTAGCACTGAGCTACATTTCCAGCTCTTTCTTTAAAAAATCTTTTTTAAAATTTTAAGTCAGAGTCTTGCTATGTTAATCAGACTGGCCTTAAGGTCACAATCCTCTTGCCTCAGGCTCCAGAGTTGCTGGAATTATAGGTGTTCACCACCCTGCCCATGTCCTTGGGAATTTTGATATGCTGGCTTATTTTAACAGGACTTAAAATTTGCTTTTATCTTTTTCCTTCTGTGTTGTAGTTGCTTCCCAAGAGTGAGAGGGGCTCATATGCTCTCAGGCTTAGGTCCTGTGTCTTTTCTGAGCACTTACGATTCCCTTGCTCTTCAGTACTCGAGCCTGTGGCCTTGCCACCCTTGGACACAGAACCACAGTCCACAGCTTTGCCTCTGCTCACTAGTTCACATAGCTACTCAAGTTTTATGTCTACAAACCTGTTTTCCAGCCATGCATCTGTTTTCTTTCTTCCTTCCATTATTTTCTAACAGCACAATAAGCTTTGTGTATGATTTTGGAAGCCAGAGAAATATAAAAGCATGAACGACGTCATCTTGATTGAAAGTGAAATATTTATTCCTGAGAAGTAAGTTCCCACATTTCCAAAAGGCCTATAGGTTCCTTATGGTTGAAGTCATACACGATTTTGAAGCAATAATAGTATAGCTTAGTATTTTCCTGTTAGGCTTTTTCATTTAAATGTTACAATATGAAATATTCCTTTGGATGAGCATACATTTATTCATTTATGAGCAAATTTATGTTGCGGGTGTACTGTGTGCGGCACTAGGCATACAATAAAGAATAAAACCGAGCCCCTGCACTTAAGTAGCTTACATTCTACTAGGGAGAGATGGGCAATATGCAAATAGGTAAGCACAAAATTATAGGTTCTATTAAGATGGAAGAAGAGTTGAGAATGAAAGAGTTATGGGGGGTTCTGGTTCTCGGGAAGATGGAGTGAACATACTCTACCCTGTTTCTCCCACTGAATTCAACTATAAACCTTGGACAGAATACCTGGAGATGCTACCAATGGCTTTTAACATCAAAATGGTCCTAAAAGAATTGGGGAGACAGTTCTACCAAACCAGCAATAAGTTTGACATTTTCTCCCCCAGGAATTGCCTGACATGAAAGCAGAAGTATCCCAAAGCCCAGAAGTAAGCACTGGGTAGAAACAGAAGAAAGTAAAAGAAGATTCTGTCATTCTGGTAGACGTGGTTTCACTGACCACTGAGCCTTCTTGGTTATGTGTAAGACTCTCTTATAAATTAATAAGGAAAAGCCAGGTATGGTAGCACATACCTGTAATCCCACATACTACGAGTCTGAAGCAGGAAGATCCCAAGTTTGAGGCCAGCCTGGGCAACTTAACAAGACTTTGTCTCAAAAAAAAAATTTTTTTTTGGCACTGGGGATCAAACTTCTGTCTCAAAATTTTAAAAAAGTTATTCTGGAGATGGAGCTCAGTGGTAGAACACTCGGCTATCCCAAGATCCTGCGTGCAATCTCCAGTACTACAAAAACACAAAAGATAAGGAAAATCCCCCAAAGATATAACTATAATAAGATAGTCTCAAAAGAAAAGAAAAGAAAATTTGAAATATATTATCTATAAAAGATGTTTAGGCCCAACTAGTAATTTATAAAGAAGCAACAATGAGATCCTGATTTCTTTTTTTTTTTTTTAATGTGGTACTTAACATGATATATATTTCACTTTTCTTCTTTGGTACTGGGAATGGAACCCAGGGCCTTGTGCTTGCTGGGCAGGCGCTGCACCACTGAGCTACATCCCCGAACCTAGGCTCCTATTTCTTATTACATCCTCTTACTAATCTGATAGAGGATTCTGAAGATATTATTCAGTTCTGAGTTTTCTGAGATAGTTTTGGAATTTTTATTGTTTTTGGATTGTGATATGTATGTATGATTGTAGTGTTGACTTTTAAAATATATAGTTTTTAAAACTGGAAGAAAAAGGTTAGCATCTTGGATTCTTATTTTTTCTTTGTGATCTATATTTTCTAATTTTTCTGCATTTATATTGATGTTATAGTCATGAAAACATATTTCATAGCTGTGTAGATAACACTTTTGAAGGCACATGTTAACCTAACAAGTGACACTTTTCTTTCCCTGTAGGTGTTCCCTTTGGCACATGTGTGCAAGGACACAAATAAAATGACATTAATTAACCCCCAAGGAGTCAAACTCAATCTCTACAAGCAGAAAGTGGAGCAGGCCATTAAGTCCTACGAAAAGTGAGTATTATTCCCGACTGCTCTTTAACAGATGTGCAACTTGTTTGCATAACCTTGTTTTCTCATTTTAGCTTAGATTTTTCTTCTCGGAAGCAGCAATTTACAAGCTTTTCAACATCAACATCAACAGGAACAGCTAACACAGGGACTCCCTATGTGCCAGCCTCTGCATTAAGTTCTTTACCTGAATATTTTAACAGTCTTAAAGAATCCATCTTCCTTTTCCAAACTATAGAAATCTTGGCCTGGGGATTTAGCTCAGTGGTGCCGCTGCCTGGCTCACATACACAAGGTCCCAAGTTCAATCCCCAGTACCAAAAAAAAAGAAATCTCATGTTTCCATAAAATCTTTCAAATTTCCCTTTCAGCACAGTGAATTTGATCATCTTGGCATCTAACATTCAGTAAAGTGACTAACAAATCTCCACAGTAATGCAGGAATAAAGCTGATGCAGCCAGCTCTCCCTATCCCTGGGTCTTGCCAGTGCTCATTCAGCCATCACAGATGGAAAATATTCAGGAGAAAATTGCCTCTGTACTGAACATGTACAGACTTTATTTTCTTGTTGTGATTCCCTAAATAATATAGCACTGCAACTAATTTGCATAGTATTTACACTGCCTTCGATATTATCA